CATCTATATATTCCTCCTCACCTCCTTCCTGGCTTTCTTGCAGACTGTGGCGCCCGCCCGGCCCTGCAGGCCTCCAGCCGGATCGTGGGCGGCTCCCAGGCCTCCCGGGGGGAGTTCCCCTGGCAGGTCAGCCTGCGGGAAAACCAGGAGCACTTCTGCGGGGCCACCATCCTGTCCGCCCGCTGGCTGGTCTCGGCCGCTCACTGCTTCAATGAGTAAGGCCATGACGCCCTCCTTGCTCCGCCAGGGGTTGACTAGAGGGTGGGGGGGCAGGGGCTGAACTTTGGGGTCAGTGGGAAACACCGCCTGATCCAAGAGGAGCGCCGTGCACGGTGGCTTCTGCCCGTGTGAGCCGTCTTCGTCCTGCCTTGCAGGTTCCAGGATCCCGGGAGCTGGACGGCCCATGCAGGAAGTGTCTGGCTGAGCGGGGGTGGCGAGGGCGTCGGGGCGAAGGCCGGCGTGGCCCGCATCCTACGGCACCCCTCCTATGACACAGACACGGCCGACTATGACATCGCCCTGCTGGAGCTGGCGGAGCCCTTGGCCTTCTCCAAGTATGTCCAGCCTGTCTGCCTGCCGGCCGCCAGCCACGCCTTCCCCGTGGGCAGGAAGTGCCTCATCTCGGGCTGGGGATACCTGAAGGAGGACTTCTGTAAGCAGCCGCTTTGCCTAGGGCAAGCTGGAGGGCCGCCAGGCGGGCGGACTGTCCATGCTGTCCTGTTCCACTGCTAATGTTGGTTTTGAAACCGGGGTGGTGGGGGTGGTGATGGTGAGGCAGGCTGGCCTCTGAAGCAAGAGCAGAGGAGGGGGCTCTGCGTTTCCATACTGAGCTGTAGAAAAGTCTTGTGTCTTCCCAGTCTGGCCTTGGCACATGAGACTCCCCCCCCCGCCCGTGTCAGCTCTACCCTGGGGGTGCCTGCCTGGCGCTGGGAGCAGGACAGGCTGGAGACTTGCCTCGGGCGGGAGGTGGGTGGGGGGCTGTTGATGCCCTCTCTCTCTCTCCTCTCTGCCCCTGTCCCCATCCCCTCCCTCTCCCTCAGTGATAAAACCGGAGCTGCTGCAGAAGGCGACGGTGGAGCTGCTGGACCAGGCACTTTGCACCACCCTCTACAAGAACGCCCTGACCGCCCGTATGGTGTGCGCCGGCTACCTGGAGGGCAAGGTGGACTCCTGCCAGGTACGGGCTGTGGGACATCCGGGCCCTGCTGGGTGCCTCGGCAGGAGGGCGAAGCTGGGGCCCCTGGGGGGCCCCTCCTGCCAGGTGGGCTTCTGCCCCTTCCCTGACCGGCTCTCCTTCTTCTTAGGGGGACTCCGGGGGCCCACTGGTCTGCGAGGAGACCTCCGGCCGTTTCTTCCTGGCCGGCATCACCAGCTGGGGGATTGGCTGCGCGGAGGCCCGGCGCCCAGGCGTCTACACACGAGTCACCAAGCTCAGGGACTGGATCCTGCACACCATGGCCGCCCCCCCTGCCCAGCCTGGCCTCAGCCGCCCAACACTGTCCTGGCCCGTGGCCTCCACCACCGTGGTTGGTGGCAAGCTCCGCCCCACTGTGGCCACGGACTGGCCGGCAGCCACAATGGCCTGGCCTCAAGGTAGGCCCCCCTCCCTGGGCTGGGGGATGGCGGGGGCTCCTGTGCCCTGCCATGGGGGGCCGGCAGGCGCTCACTTGGATGTGGGGGTCGCTGTGTTCCCTCCTGCAGAGTGTGGCCGGAGGCCAGGCTTCGCCAAGCCGAACAAGATCGTGGGGGGCGTGGACGCCTCCCGGGGGGAGATCCCCTGGCAGGTCAGCCTCCAGGAGGGTCTGCAGCACTTCTGCGGGGCCACCATCATCGGCGAGCGGTGGCTGCTCTCCACTGCCCACTGCTTCAACCAGTACGTAGGCCGGCTGGGCACAGGTGGGGGGCCTGGCGGTGGAATCGGCCTTCCGCGCCCCCCCGGGGAACCTCCTTCCCCCTGTCCTTCCTGTCCGCCGTGGTTCCCACCAATCGTGGACGGGTGTCTTCTCTCTCTCTCTCTCTCTCTTGTGCCCCCCCGCAAGCAGCACCAAGGCCGAGCGCCTGGTGGCCTTTGCGGGCATCACCTCCCTGGCGGCCGCCGAGACCTCCTCGGTCAAGGCGAGCGTCAAGCGGGTGGTGGCGCACCCGGCCTATGACCCGGCCCGGCTGGACTTCGACGTCGCCCTGCTGGAGCTCAGCCACCCGCTGACTTTCGGGAAGTACGTCCAGCCCCTCTGCCTCCCGCTGGCCGTCCACAAGTTCCCTGCGGGCCAGAAGTGTCTCATCTCTGGCTGGGGCAGCGTCCGGGAGGGCAACGGTAAGGGAGGCGCCAGGAGAGCCGAACCGCCCCCTCCCGCTGGGAGTGGGTTGAAGGAGGCTGCTGACCGCCATTCCCCGTTCCCAGCTTCCAAGCCAGAGAACCTGCAGCGGGCCTCGGTCGGGATCCTCGACCAGAAGACCTGCAACGCCTTGTACAACTTCTCCCTCACTGAGCGGATGCTCTGCGCCGGCTTCCTGGAGGGCCAGGTCGACTCCTGCCAGGTAAGGGCGCCCGGGGTGACCCTGGGGAGGGGGGGAGTAAGTTCGGAGGCACGTTGGCTGGGCGGCACCACCCACTCGTCTTCTCCCTTTGGTCCCTGGCACCAGCCGAGGGCACCAATCGGCCCAGGGAGCCCAGCCCCCTCCCCTCTGCCTCTCTTCCAGGGCGACTCGGGTGGACCCCTGGCGTGCGAGGAGACCCCGGGGGTCTTCTACCTGGCCGGGCTGGTCAGCTGGGGCCTGGGCTGTGCTCAGGCCAAGAGGCCCGGGGTCTATACCCGGATCACCAAGCTGAAGGGCTGGATCGTGGACGCCATGGCCTCCCTGCGCCCGGGCACCGTCCCCGGGAGCCTGGTCGGAGCCCTGCCTGCCTCCTCCAGCATCCTGGCCACCTCCTCTGTGCCCGCCTTCAGCCAGCCCTCAGCCAGCCAGGGGATGACGCGGCCTCTGCTGAGCACCAGCCTCCGGGCCGGCGCCAGCCTCTCCCGGATGACCGCCAGCTTCTCCCGAGCTCCTCTGCTTCCAGGTAGCAAAGGCGTCCGTCATTCTGTGCCGTGGGGAGGGGGCTCCGTGACGGAGAGGGAACCCCCCCTCTCATCCTTCAGTCCTCCTCTCCTGGGGGAAGAGTCTTTCTTGGGTCTGGGGGTCTGGCTTCTGGCACCATCGACGGGTCAGGCTTTAAGGGGGCCGTAAGATCTGTCCTGGGGCTTTCCTGACACTGTCGGGAACGGTTTCCCTTTGGGGCGATTCTGATACCTGCCGTTCCGAGGGGTGGATGGGTGGGGTCTCTATGCAGTCAACCCCCCCGTCCCACTTGTGGGGCCCAAAGCACGAGGGAGCGAGGGGATCTCAGGCCTCTGACCCCCTCCTCGGCGACCCACCCCTCCTTCCCCAGGTGTTCCCTGCAGCCCCTCCACCTTCAAATGCTCCAGCAAAGTCTGCATCGGGAAGGTGAACCCAGAGTGCGATGGCATCCCAGACTGCAGCAACGGCAAGGATGAGGCCGACTGCGGTAAGTGGGCCCCCCCCCCACCAATGCCTGGCGAGGTCGGCCAAGCCGGGCCTGCCTTGGGGACCTGCCGTTGCCTCTGGCCCCTGCTGATGTGGGGGGCAAGGGAGGATGAGGGGAGTATTCCCCCACCACTCTCAAGGTGCAAGCCGGAGAGGAGCAAGCCCCCCCACTCCCTTCATGTCCTCCCTTCCTCCCCACAGACTGCGGCCTGACCCCGGCCACGGCTTTCAGCAAGATTGTGGGGGGCAGTGGGGCAGCCCGCGGAGAGTGGCCGTGGCAGGTGAGCCTGTGGCTGCGTCGGAAGGAGCACAAGTGCGGCGCCGTCGTGATCGCCGAGCGCTGGCTCCTGTCGGCCGCCCACTGCTTCGACCGGTGAGTTGCCCCCCCTGTGGTGGGGAGAGTCGTCCGCCCGATGGGCGCTAGCCTGGGGATGCCCCTCCTTGGCTCCCTCCCCATCTCCTCCAGGCTCGGGGCATTGGGCCAAGAGGGGGTGGAGGTTTTGCCATGCGAAGGCCAGGCCCTGCCCAACTGGCCGGCGGAAGCCTTGCCTTGCCCCCTCTCCTCCCCACAGATACAGCAACCCCAAGCTGTGGGTGGCTGTTCTTGGGACACCCTCCCTGAGCGGCCTGGATGGGCAGGTGGAGACGGTGGCTCGGATCCTCCAGCACCCCTTCTACAACGCCTACACGCTGGACTACGACATGGCCCTTCTGGAGCTGGCCTCCCCACTCCGCTACTCGCGGGCTGTCAAGCCCATCTGCCTCCCTGACGGCACCCACCGCTTTCCGGCGGGGTCCCCGTGCTTCATCACCGGCTGGGGATCTACCAAGGAAGGAGGTGAGGGGGGGCGGTGGCGGCCGGGGGCTCCCTTCCTTGGGAGCGCCTGCACCCTGCCCCACAGGCGGCTTGGCCGCCTTGCGGTTCTCCGCACGTGGCCATGGCACGCTCTCTTTGTCGGCGTCTTGCGTTTTATCGCAGTGGGGTCTCTGCACATCCCGCAAGTCTTAAGTCTTGCCAGGCAAGGGCCGCCGGTGGAGGCTGGCCGGGGGGGGGGCTCTTCTTTCACCCGTGCCTTTCCCCTTCAGGACCGACGTCCAAACACTTGCAAAAGGCAGCTGTGAAGCTGCTGGCGGAGGCCGACTGCCGGCGCTTCTACCCTGTCCAGATCAGCAGCCGGATGCTCTGTGCCGGCTTCCCGCAAGGCGCCGTCGACAGCTGCTCCGTGAGTCCCACATCCTCCCCTTCACCGGAGACCCTCTGGAACCCCTGCACTCCCCCAGATCCGAGCCATCCCCCGCTCCCCCCTGGTGTGTCCTTGGGGTGGGGCTGCCTAGGGGTGCCCTCCAAGGCTCCCGCTGCCTTTTTTCCCCTCTGCAGGGCGACGCCGGCGGCCCGCTGGCCTGCCGAGAGCCCTCTGGGCGCTGGTTCCTGGCCGGCATCACCAGCTGGGGCTACGGCTGCGCCCGCCCTTTCTTCCCGGGAGTCTACGCCAAAGTGACGGCCGTGCGGGGCTGGATCGGGCAGAACCTCAAAGAGTGATGCCTCTCGGGAAGAAAAGAGAGGCCACCGAGAAAGGGGAGAGTGCCTTGTCCCCCCACCCCGGACAGGCCCTCGACAGCCTGAACGTAGCCCGTAGCCCGGGAGGTGCTGACAGCGCCCCCGCTCTGGGCCAACGTAGACCTTTTTCTCTGAATAAAGAGGCCTTCCTGTGAAACGTGGCTCGGTGCAATTTTGCAAAAACTGGAGAGCAAGAAATCACCTCCTGATCCTTTAGAACGTGGCTGATCCGGACCTCCCTCTCCCCCTTGACTGATCCGGGTGCGGAGAGGCCATAGGCCTCCCCCCCCCAGCAGAACGGCTGCCCAGCCCCACTGTCCCCCCTCCCGGCTGTCCTCCGGCTTCAGTGGCGCCACAGCGAAGAGAGAGGAAACGGAGGTGGTGGGGCGGCCCGTGCTCACTTTAATGTCTGCCCCACAGGCGGTGTCCCAGCTGGAGAAACCTGTCTCCCCCCCCCCCGAGTGGCCACAACCCACCCTGCCCTACGTGAGTCCGTGCAGCATGGGAAGGGCCCCGTCAGGCCGCCGTCACATGTTGGCTCGCTCCCGCTGCAGCCGGGAGTTGTAGGCCCTCGAGACGGTGTTCCAGGCGTCCATGTAGCGGTCCATGCACATGGCGATGCACTTCTGCGCAAGGGGAAGGAAGGAAGAACAAGAAGGGAAGGAAGGGAGAAGGGCAGTGATGACGGACAGACAGGCCAGGGTCGATCCGGGTTGGGGACCAGCGGAAGCCTCTCACTAGGCCTGCTGGTCCCTGCAAGAGCCCCACCCCACCCGGTTTCCCCACACAGAGAGGCTCACCTGCTCGGAGTTATCCAGGGAGCTCCCAGGTTTCCCGATGCACTTCCGGAAGCACTTGTCCGTCATCCTCTGGAAAGGGAGAGAGGCGGGTCAGGCCGGGAGCTCCCTCTCTGTCATGGAGGGGGATGGGAAGAGATGCCCCAAGAAGCTGCTGGATCCCCCCCAAGACACATTCACCACGAGGGAGGGGACTGTGGGGTTGAGGGGGTGAGCCCGAGGGAGGGGTGGCGGGGGCCCGAGGACCAAGGCGTGGATGTGGGCCTGTATGGGTGAGCGCCCCCCTCCCCTTGGAGGAGACCCCCCCCCGGCGCTCTCCCTCCGGCTTTAGGGAAGGGACCCAGAAAAGAGGGGAGGGAAGGAGAGCAATTCCCTCCCTCCCTCCCGTGTGACCTTCAAAGGGCTGCTGGACCTGCCCCCCAAGGAGGGAGGTTTCGGGGAGGGGATGGGGGGGCAAAGCCAGGCAGCCCCTCTCCCGCCCTCCCTCTGGGTTGGCCCCTGCCTGGACATGATGATGGGGGCTGACCCCCTGGGGAGGGCGGTGTGTCTCTCCGGAGACCCTGCAAGCCCCACCCCACCGCCACGGGGCCGAAAGGTTTCGGGTGTGTGTGTGAGAGAGAGCGAGGGGGACACACAAACACACACAGTGCGCAGGCGTCCTGGGGGCCACTCGTGGGGCCCTCCCCTCTCGAGGGGCCCTTGTGTGTGTGTGTGTGTGTCTCCCTTGCGAAGGGGGCGCCCCTTCCCATCACCCCCCCCCGATCCCATGGGGAGGCGGCCAGCCGTGGGGAGAGGAAGGCGTTCTCGAGCAGAGGGGGAAGGAGCGGTAGACTGCCTCTGGATGGGAAGGCTCCACCGCCGCCTCTCCTCTCCGGGGCACGTGGGAGTCCAGAGGTCGGCGGAGGCCGAGGAAGGAGATAGACTGCCCCTGCGCGGGGAGGCTCTCACCTGCAGGAGCTCCTGGGCGTTGGCCACAGCGATCTGGACCTTGACTTGCTCCATCAGCGCCCCCGGGTCCAGGCGGGCCCCGGAGCCGAACTCGCCGCTCCCGCCGGACGCCATCTCCGCCGCCGCTCCCACGGGAAGGACTCCAAGCCCCGGCAGGCTTCGCGCGAACTCCCGCCGGAAGCCCCGCCCTTCCGGCCCTTAGAGGAAAGGCCGGCCGCCAGGCCGGGCAACGAGCGGGTGCGCCACAAGTCCGGCACCCATGCAGCCCCACTAAGCGCACCTCGCTTTCCCGGCTCGCCCCCCCCCCGCCCGGGAGGGGGGGTGGGCCG